CGCTATAGAAAGAGCCGAAGTCGAGAAACAGACTCAGCAACTTTTAAAAGCGGACATAATAGAACCTTCTACCAGCGCGTCCTCTAATCCAATATTTTTAGTCGGAAAAAATTTACCAAAAGAGGACAAAAAAGGTAAAAGCCCTCAAGAATATAGAATGGTCCATGATTACAGACAATTAAATTCAATATTATAACGAGATAGCTTTCCTATGTCCATCATAAAAAATTTTTATGNATGGTAGAATGGTCCATGATTACAGACAATTAAATTCAATATTATAACGAGATAGCTTTCCTATGTCCATCATAAAAAATTTTTATGACTGTTTGGCGGGTAACAATTTCTTTTCGTTGTTAAATGCATCAAATGGATTTAACCAATTTAAACTTTCCAAATAGTCGAGACAATATACAGCTTTTACAGCAGATACTGGATACTACCAATTTAAAAGATTACCTATGGGTTTTAATAATGCGTCATCCATTTACCAATCTGCCACGTGCAAAATCATGAGAAGTATTAATTATAAGAACAATGTCTGTTTCCTCGATGACTGTTTAATTTTAGCAAAACATTTGATAATTATTTAAATTCACTCAAACATACATTAGAAAGATTCTCATACTACAACCTTAAATTAAAACCATCTAAATTCAAATTTGGATACCAAGAAATTAAAATTTTAGGCAATGTAAAAAATTCACAAGGTATAAAACCAACCGAACAAAGCCTAGAGTTAATAAATAATTTCCATCACCTTTTAATATCAGGCAATCCGTAGCTATCTTGGGCTAGCAAACTATTTTCGAAAATTCATCCCAAACTTTAATAAAACCGCAAAGCGTATGACGGATTTAACAAAAGGGATATTTAAAAATAAGCGCAATAAAATTAACTGGACAAACGATCACGAAAAAGCTTTTCAGGAACTAAAAAATAAATTAACTATTAAGCCTCTTCTTGCACATTATAACGAAAACTATCAATCGATGATCGTAACGGACGCGAGTCGTGGAGGCCTTGACGTAATTTTGCAGCAAAAAGACGATAGTGGCATAATTCGACCAGTTTCATATGCATCAAAAAAATTAACTTCTGCTGAATTTAATTACTCATTAATGGAACTCGAGGTTTTAGCCATTAATTTTGCCTTCACTCAATATCGCCAATAGATGGAAGACGAGTAGAGATTAAAACCGACCATAAAATCTTAACTAGCATCATAAATATAAAAACGGAATCTAATGTAGTAAACTGGATAATAAAAAAATAAATTAATGGGATATGATTTTGAAATAGTTTATAAAAAAGGTATTTTGAATAGAGCTACTGACCATTTGTCACATTATCCTTATTCAGAAACCGGAAACGGTAAAATTGAACTATACCAGTTAGATTCAACAAAACACGATAACCCAAATATTAACTTAGTTCAGTCAATTAACATTCAAGTAGATCAAGCAAATGGCGACTACTTGTAAAATATTATACTGGCAATTAAAACCCCCTACACGAGAAACAATAAATGGATAAATAAAGCTAAAAATTATTTTATCGATAAAAATTGTGCTTTATACTATACAATTAAATATTGCGAGATCACTAAAAAAGTATTAGCTTTACCTTTTAAATATATTGCATACATAATTACTGATAGACCCCTAAGCCCGCATGTTGGCTTTACCAAAACTTTAGACAAAATTAAAAATAAATATTAGTGGCTGAAAATGCGAAAAAATATAAAAAATTACATATTAAGTTGCAAAAATTGTCAAAAGCGTAAATCGTACAAACAGCGGAAATCTCCCAAAGCATTACGATATCTTTGGAAAATTGCGGGGTAATTGAAGAGATTTTCTTAGATTACATTGGTCCTCTGGAAAATTCCAAATCATATAAATATATACTCGTTGCAACTGATCGTATGTCTAAATTTTTCGTGGCTAAACCTTATACAAACGCTAACGCCTAGAACACAAACAAATTTTTAATAGACTTCATTTTAAGGTTTGGACCTCCCAAAGCTATTAGATCCGACAATGCTAACACATTTTACCGCCAATTTGATTTTAGAACTTTTAGATTTTTTACATTTAGATGAAAAATTTGGCATCCTTTATAAACCGACCTCGCAAGAACAATTTGAACGGCAAAACCAAAGTCTCATTGATATGATTGCCCACTAAGCCAAGGACAATAACAAATGGGCGGACTATTTGCCTTATATAGTTTTTGCATACACCACTTCAGTGCACGAGGTCACCAAGTACATTCCACATTACTTAGTACACGGTTATCGTCCTAAGAACTTATATGATGTAGCTCTTATACCGTCAAGCGACGCAAACGGTTTAGCCGAACTCAATAATTTAAATCATGTACGAAAAACTTTGCCGAAAATAATTAAAAAAACAACAGACTACGTTATTTCAAAATTAAAATTTCCACAGAATGTCGCGAAATACGCTGTTGGAGACAAAATATTAGTTAAAATCCCTATTCGGAATAACAAGTTCGACCATCGTTATGAATGTCCTTAAGAAATTACCAAACAGATAGACCCCTATGCGTATTTAATAAAAATGTAAAAAAATAATATACTTAAGGATTCTCCAGTTCATATTAACCAAATAAAGCCCTTTATTTTTAGAGACTATAATTAAATTTTTATTATGATTATTGTTTGTTTAATTATTTTACTTGTATGTTTAGTTTTTTTTTGGTTTTGTCACTTCTTTTATGCAAATTTATTATTTTCTACTACATCGTGCGTGTGGCCTGTGATATATGTGTATATGTATGTACATACATTAGAGTGGTCCTTATTTATAGATTATGAAAAATTTCTTTCAGAAATTCCTTGGTCTCACTCCCCAAAATTCATTAGTTTCAAAATTTTTAAACTCATTAGTTTTCGAGCAAAATTTTAAATTATGCTATATTTTATCGATTTGCCAAAATTGGAATATTTACGAATACTACATTATATTTGACAAACATTTAGAGATACGATTACATATTTTATACAAAAATTGTTTATTAAAAAATTATTAACAAATTCAGCACAACAACCGTGGTGTGGGCTTAGCACCCCTCCCCCTCAAAAAAATTAAAAATACACAGTTGAAAAAATATTTATTGACATTAAGGAAATAAATAGTTGATCATATTCATAATAAATTTTTTTTTAATTATAAATAAACGATTTTTGTATAAAAGATGTAATCGTATCTCTAAATATTTGTCAAATATAATGTAGTATTCGTAAATATTCCAATTTTGGCAAATCGATAAAATATAATATAATTTAAAATTTTGCTCGAAAACTAATGAATTTAAAAAAAATGTGTAAGGACTAAACTTATAGTCCATAATATTTTCAAAAATTTATATTCTATAATTTTTTTTCTATATTCGCTCATTTCCGAATTAAGTACAAAACACTGGAGAACTACCACTATTGTCCACTTTTCAACCTCGAGTAGGCACGGGTTAAACTTGTCTGATTGATGAAAAATTTTGGGGCGAGACCAAGGAAATTTCTAAATCGAAAAATAAAGACAACCCTAACATACATGCATGTATACCATATGTCTGGATGCGCGCATATATGCATACTAAAACTCCCTGACAGCAAAATGTGCAAATTTTATCAAACAGAACATAACAAAGAAAACTGCCTCTACATATCTACCGACTTAACCATTGTCTTTGACACGGCACCACCCGTCACTCTAAGCTGGCGCTCACCCGTGTCTCTCTCGATATCAACCGTCCAGCTATTAATATGACAATCGGTTGTCCGCCCTTGACACCGAGATAAGGCCGCCGCCAAAAATGGATTACGGATATTGCGTTCTGTTTCGTTTCCGACGGATACCTTAACTGATCGATTTCTGTGTGATCCTGATTTTTCAGTGTTTCATTGATATTTTTTTTTGGTGCATCGTCTATGATTGTTACTTAATTTTGATTATTATATTAAAATTAATATGGCATTTCTAGCGAATTTGTTTTTCTAAAGCGCTTGCATTTTTTACCTGTGTTACGACTGTAGACAATTATTAACCCAATAAACGACTTAGGACTATATTATGATGATCTATTTTATTATTTAATTTTGTGTACTTCACTTTAAATGTCAGCTGTTTAATAACTCACTCTTGTAGTTTGTCAATTATTATGCCTTTTACCCAGATGCTTTTCCTGGATGTCATTTTACCAATTACAGTTTTTATTTTCAGGACACCATTCATATCGATCTCAACACCGCGAGACCTTGCTGATACAGCGTCTTGGCCAACGCGGCATTTTCAATAGGTAGTGCACCGATAATTAATGTGATTCCTGACCTCTAATGTGATTACATTATAAGTATATTAATTAACAATTTTAGTACCATACAATATTGATAATTTGGTAACGATTGTTTTAGATATTTCTGAACGCGAGAATATTACATTTCACTATGATAATATTTAATGTATATCCTTTATTATTTGATAAAAATACGATTTCAGTAAATGTCGATTGACTCTGGCAATTATTCGTCAGGTGTCGTCTTTGTTCGTTTCTTTAAGAAATAGGTAAAATTAAAAATTAATTAAAAATTTGGAACGTATATAAATTACTAAAAAAATAATTACAAAATTATATGTAATTTTGTTCAATAATAAGTTGATCGATTCTACAATAAAGTTTTTTATTAATACTAAATTGTATAACAAATACACACATAAACAATAAACAATAAAGAATTGATAATTTAAAACTTATTACTGTATACTCTTTAAATTATATAAAATAAAAATAATTATTAATAATTAAAAATTAAAAATGTTACCATAGATTTTACACATTAAATCTATATGATTATACAAATTACAACAGTGATAACAGTGTCCCTATAAACAGTGCCGCCACTGTTATATATATTTCTGTGTTATATATTTTTTTCGTATCTAGCACTATTAAATTTCTTACTACATTATACTTACTTCATTATACATCTGCTCGTATGTATACTTCTTGTTCTCATGACGGCTGACTATATATTCACGGTCTGGAATCTTTTCTACAACTTCATTGAAAACTTGACCAATTGTAAAAGGTTTCAAGGATTCGGTAGATTTCCCATGATAATAACTGAGTTTTGACAAGTAATGATTTTTCCTTGAGAATATTTGCGTGCTAAAAAATGTTAATTCATTTTTAATACTAAAATTCAATTAAAAAAACAATTAATTATTTTAAGATCTATAGCTTTCAGTTGCCATATAATTTTCATGTCTTGTGTCACGCTACATCTATTTGTTCCTATAAGCCTATGTTTAAATATTCAGTTTTATTTTAAATAGTCATATTTGACTTTGAATTAACAACTCAGATTTAATATAAAATAAATTGTTAATAAATAATATGTACATTATAAATTTAATTTAAAATAGAATTTAAAAGTACCTAGAGTATTATAAATTAAAAGTGGTAGCTGTTTAATAATAGAAATTTATTCATAATATTACCAATTGTCTTTTTTATATAACTGTCTATTGCGATTTAATGAGATGTGTGTATTTTTGTTAATTAATAAAACATAAGGGAAAGTAACCAGAATAAAACGGTAGCACAGTGGGGTCGAGGCACAGTGTAGACGAGGCATAGATGGGACAAGTATAGATGATATCTGACAGTATTAAAATCACTATCATAAGAAACGCCTCTGTAGATCTGTGAATAGTGTTTCATTTAAAGAAATTGGTGGATTATTCCAAAAGCAACATCAACTCTTATCTCTTTGATTATATCCTAATTAGTTGTTCTTTGATTTTTAAATATAATATGTGAATAAATACTAATTATAATTATTAAATTTAGTATGAAATTGATATTCAATAATTTAATATAATAATTTAAACGGAGAAATTATAAAAATAATAAAAAAGTTATAATTTGCTTTACTTTTAAATGTATAAAAATTTAAAGGGCTTGATACAATAATTTTCAATAAAAACTGTTTGTTACTATAAATAAAGGCACTAGACTACAAGGAACTTTCATCAGAAGCAAAAATATACTTTTCTAATTCAAATTTTCGCGTTGTTTTCAAATCTGTAATTAGACTTTTTCTATTAATAACTCTATTTTTTTATATTATTACTAATTACATATAAAATAATAATTAAAAGAAAAAAACATTTTTTTTTAATTATTACTGATTTGATTTTTAATATGTTATCATAGTAATCATTTCTAAGTAATATTTGGTATTTAAAAAGATTTTACAATTGAAATATCCAGAACTGAATTAATTTTAATGATTTACTTTAACTAAAAAAAAAAAGTTTTCATTTTGAATTCCTCTTGTGGGTAGGTAAAGGGTTAGATTTATATAAAAAAAAACTAAACGATAGTTAAAGAAATGCATCTAAATAAAAAAAACCCAGCGCAGTTGGGTCATGGCATAGTTGGGTCCAGTATAGATGATATCTGACAGTGATTAAAATCACTATCATAAAAAACGCTTCGATGCAAATCTGTAGATAGTGTTTAATTAAAAAAAAAAAAGTAGGTCAAGTGAGAGCTGAGAATATAAATGATAGCTACAAAAAAAAAACCACATAGTAAAATAATATTAATATGAATTTCTTCTCACGAGAGGAGACTACAGTAATGGAATCCTTGATATTTATTGAAGTTATTGAATCTATATGAGATAAAATCAAATGAGTTAAACATTTTTTTTAACTCAAAAAATAATTCAGTGCCACAGTCATGAACGATTAAAGTGTTAACGTCTCAAAAACCGTACGACTCATTCGTCACTTAATAAAAATGGAAATTTAGCTAGTTCAAATTTTAAAGTTATTTTTCTCGACTTCAAAGAAACAAAAAAATTTAATATGATTAATTCTTTATGTCATTATGATGTCATTTAGATTGATTTAATATTTATGAAAATCATTGTAATCCCCTTATAATAAAATAAAATACAAAACCAAGAATTTTATCACAACAATATCATATTTTTAAATACGGTAGCTATTTTCACCATGTATTCTCCTAATAAGATATTTTAAAATAAAATAAAATACAAAACCTAGAATTTTAATAGAAAAATAGCATATTTTTCAATACGGTAGCCATTTGCGTAAGGTCGTCGGTACAAATTTTTTTTTTCATTTTATAGTACATAAAATAAGCTTTAATTAAATATCTGTTTAAAGGACGCAGTATTTCCGGAACATTTTCAAAAATTAAGTTGAAAAAGTTCTATTTTTTATACAATGTTTCAAGTTTTGAACGCCCCCTATATATGGGAAAATTGTCCAATTTTAATAAAAAGTAGGTCAAATGAAAGATGTATTTAGGAAAAAAAAATTGTGCTTATAATTAGATTTTTCGAAAAGTTATAGCATTTTTAGGTTTTTTTTTTTTTTATTTTATTTATAAAATTTACAATCTTTAAAAAAAAAAATTTTACAATAAGTAAATAGTTTAGAAAATATACATATATAAAATACTTAACATTAGTAGCCTGTGAGGTCGCTCCTGTTGGAGTCGCCTGCTATTGAAAATTTATATTTAGTTTTATTACATAATATTAACAATAATAATAATAGTATATAATGGTATAGTAGTTTGTACAATAATTAGGAGTTTTAATTACGTAATGTTAACAAGATTAAATCATTTATAAAGATAATAGGTCTCTGCACCATTCTCTCTTAAGACGCCTTACTGGATTGCCAGGCAAGGCGTTTGCGCTCAGCATTTGAATTAATCTATTGGGGTTGGATTCAAGTTTTATCCAGAATCTTTTATAATATAATCTTGCCATTTCTTTAATTGTGTTGAGATGGAGGTCTGAATGTAGGGCCATGTTTGTGACGTACCAGGGCGCTCCGGTTATGATTCTTAAGCAGATGTTTTGGAAACTTTGGATTGTTCTCTGGTTATAACTTTTTGCTGGTCCCCAAATTATTATGCCATAAGACCATAGTGGTTAGAGTAATGTTTTGTATAATATAATTTTATTTGACAAAGAAATATTTGACAAAGAAATATTTGACTTAAGCAAAGGTCTTAGTAAATGAAGTCTCGAGTTCAGTTTTTTCCTTTTTTCTTTTAAATGAGGACCCCAGGTTAACCTTCGGTCAAAAATTAACCCTAGGTATTTAACCTCGGTTGAATGAGGAATAATAATGTTATTAATAGTAACTAATGGGCAGTCATGCTTTTTAAGAGTGAATGTAATGATAGAAGATTTCGACTCATTTATTCTGACACGCCAGGTCTTGAACCAAAGCGAAAGCATATTTAGATGTACTTGTAACTGTTGACTGGCAACTTTATGATCTAATAAAGATGATATTAAGGCCGTGTCATCAGCATAGGTACCAAGTACTGTTGTATCCGATAAAGGTAGATCAGATGTATATATTGTGTACAAGAATGGCGCAATATCGCTACCTTGAGGCACACCAGCATATATTGGGTATAATGGGGAGTGTTGGAGATTATGACGGACTTTAAAATAACGGTTTTGCAGGTATGATTTGAGTATGAGGTAATAAGAAGCTGGGAAAATGTTTTTTAATTTGAATAGAAGTCCTTCATGCCAAACAGAGTCAAAGGCTTTTGCCACATCTAGAAAGACTCCAGCACAGTATTGTTTTGTTTCTAGTGCTGTTGAAATTGTATCAGCAACACGGTGCAGTTGATGAATAGTTGAATGTTTTGCTCTAAATCCAAATTGAAATTCAGGAATGTTATTATTTTTTTGAGTGATAAATAAAAGACGTTTTAATATAATTTTTTCTAATATTTTACCTAAGACAGGTAGAAGACTTATTGGTCTGTACGAGGAGTGATCTTCGGGAGGTTTCCCAGGTTTGAGAATTGTAACAACTACCGATGATTTCCAGGATGCTGGAAAATAAGATAATCTAAGAGCTGCGTTATAGATGTAAACTAACAAAATGACCGATTTCCTAGGAAGATTTTTTATTATTTTATTGGTTATTAGATCATTTCCAGGTGATTTTCCGTTCACAAGTTTTTTTATAATAGTATAAACTTCATTAGGAGTAGTTGGTTTGGCTGGTAAAGATAAAGGTAGTGGTGACTGAATGAAATCTGTTACTGTCTCGATATGATGCGCTGGTGGAGAAATAGAGTGTGGTTTAAAGACATTTGACAATTCTACGGCGAGGGTATCTGCTTTATCCTGATCTGTTATAGCTAGTGTATTGTCATTACGCCGGAGGGGCGGTGTTGATTCTTTCATTCGAAGAATCGATTTTGTTTTTCTCCATAACGATCCGTTCCTTACTGAAAGATTTTGAAGGTATGTTTTATAAGAATTATTTTTGTGAGTCTTGAGTAATAATTTGAGTTTATTGGTTAAAAAATTGTATAGTTTTTTGTCATCTGGATAGTGCGTATGTTGCCATCTTGATCTAGCTCTACGTTTCTCAGCTATTAGTTGTTTTAACTCAGGGGTTAAGTTTAATGTTGGTTTTTTATAAGAGATGGGAAATGAAGACTTTTTTGCTGCTTCTTGTATGTTCATGGTAAGTTTGTGAATTTCATTATCTAAATCCATAGTAGTTTTTAGTTTAATATTTAATGCAGTTTTTTTTGAAAGTATGGTCCTAAATTTGCACCAATTCATTTTACCTTGAGTGATTGTTGGCCTGCTATGTTTTAGGCTCGGCTGTCCTCCAATATGTAATAGAGCTGGTGTGTGGTCAGAAGCTGGATNAATAGAGCTGGTGTATGGTCAAAAGCTGGATCATTTAGTTTTTATAAGTGTTGTAGAACACCATTTGCATTCCACAAGAATATTGATAATGTTTTTTTACTACTAATTGACATTTTTAAGAAGTTAATCAATGACTGTTGTAAGAAGAGATACAAGAGGGTTAATTAGCACTTTTAGGTCATTTATAAATGTTGTTAGTTGAGCTGTTAGATCATGGTTATAGTCAGTATTTTTATTTTGAGTTTGAGAGTCTTTATTTAAAGGAGGAAAGTTTTGAGATGATGGGGAGAATGGTTGGTCCTGATTAGTTAAATTATTGGTTTGAAGTGAGCGATTATTGTTCCATGGGTTTTTTTTTGATTTGGTTAAATATTTTTTCATGTCTAGATGGATTTGACAGCCTTTATAATTTGCCTGATGATTACCA